CTGGAGATCGTCTCGCGGTCCTCGACGCCTGGAACAAACAATCGCGAGATAATCGCGCATAAACAAACATACATACCTCTACATACAGATTAAACTGAGAACCTCGTTTTTATTCTTTTTGAAGTTGGTTAAATCGGCAAACAAAATAAGTATAACTAGATTTAGACCATTGATCATCGACATATGGGAAAAAATAATAAATAAAATAGATAATACATTTGTAGCATCATTGAATAGCACTAATTATGAAAATACTAGATGCTCCCGCGCGGTTTCACTCTCTGTTCGAGCCTTAATAATGGTAACGTACATATGTTTTATTTATAGCCTTCCTCGATAAATGTTTCACCCGAAAAAAACAATACAATTCGATCTAGTAGTTCCGGTGGAGCGCATAGAACCAAAAAAGACATAAACTCTTTAGTTTTATAATACCTCTATTAAGGGCCTGTTTCACAAAGTCTAGATAGCCGGTACGAACCAGATAAATTCGAATTAAGAACGTAATTTGAGTGAATCTGTCACAAAAGTTAAACGGATAGCTACTCACAGGGGTGATGAAACAGGCGCTAAATAGACCTTCACATGTCTAATCCTTCATGGACCACACAAAATTATTATCCAATATGGAGACTCAACCTTGCCATATGTTACACAGCATCCGGGTCCCCCAGTGACTACGCCAATCGTAATTACCGGGGATTTATCATTTCCTACTATATTTAATATTTCTGTATTCGTCAACAGTAATTTGAATTGCAATTTAAATATTCATTACAAATTGTAATTGTATTCTCAGTATTAGTAGAGGATCCGATTTCATCGCCCGACCTTAACACGTTAACTGCCGTGAAGGTCACGAGTGACCCACGATAGCCTAAATTTGCCTTTCACAGATTTCTATCGGCAGACAAACGCTTAACCGATCTAATTGATATAAATTACTCGATAACTAACTTAATTTATTAAAAACTAGCGACCCGCTCCGGCGTCGCATGGGAGCAATATGCATGTATTATACATATAAAACTTTCTTACGAATCATTCTATCTATTAAAAAAAAACCGCATCAAAATCCGTTGCGTATATTTAAAGATCTAAGCATACATAGGGACAGACAAACGGCGGATAGCGACTGTGTTTTATACTATGTAGTAATTACCAACTTTTACCTGCGGCTCTGCTCGCTTTCCTGTGGGTAAAAAGTAGTCTATGTACTAATCCAGACCATAACCTACCCCTGTTCCAAATTTCATCCTGGTCCCTTCAGCCATTTTGATGTGTAACAAAAATACACATAAACACTCAAACTCACAAACACACAAAGTGACACATTCTCCTATCTATAATAGCGAGTCCAGCTGATTTCGACAATCGGCCTTACAGTTATAGCGTAAGGTCCACAGTGAACACTGGGCAACGTAACATTTCACAAACTTATATTTGCGTTTGGTACAGTTACTGTGTCTAGGAATCGAGCCGCAGAATTAAGTTTGATTGTCAGTGCATATACTTTTTCGGGATAAAAAGGATACCCAATGTGGTATCAAGTTGCGGAGAACCTAACGAGTTACCGGGGCTCCGGCTCGACGTGCAGGAGGAGGAACGGGGTGGTTTTTAGTCAGTAAGAGTCTGACACTCCCTCCCGCCTCACCCAGGCGAGAGTAGTCATTCGATGATTTTCTCCAGTTTGAAAAAGTGTGGTATCAAGTTTCATCTTTAATAAACTAGTAGTTTTGGTATAACTTCTCCCTATTTTCCCAACATTTCCCTTCACTGCTCTGCGCCTATTGATTATAGCGTGATTAAATGTTTATTTTATAACCAACTGAGGAGTATGAAAAATAGTTGCACCAAGTTTCGTTAAAATCCGTCGAATATTTTTTTGTTCTAATATGTCTGTTTATGCAGACAGACAGACAGACTGACAGACAAAAATTCTACTAATTGCAATTTTGGACTCTGTATCGATCCCTAATCGCTCCTTGATAGTTATTTTGGAAATATATTTAATGTAGAGAATTGACCTCGCTACAGATTTATTATAAATACAGATAGAAAAAATGGGTTGCCTGATAAAATCTTGATATACCTAATTGCGGTGTGTTCACGCGCGCCACTCGAGGAAGAAAATCGCAGCTTTTTAGGGCTGCTACGTGGTGGGACCTGCCACAATGTAGTGGTAGGTCGAGGCCTGCCGGGTGCGGTGAATCCGCAAGGGCGTCCCGGGTCACGGCCACAGGCAGAGGAGGAACACCGCGGTGGTTTTAGCCGGTAAGAGTCCGGCACACCCCCTCGTCGTCCCCACGGCGTGGGAAGTCCATGAGGATTTCCATCGCGTTATAAAAAAAAAAGATATACCTAATTAATTAAATTTGGAAAACTGATTTTCTTTATTTCACCCGTAGCTTTATATCAGTCTCGGACCTCTTTGTTGTACATCTCCAGTCACATTAATAATGATAAAAATTCATATATGTGTGACATTTTTAATGACATGTTCATTCCCATCCCTTGAAAAGTTTTTAATAAATCGTATTTTTTATTGAGTAATACAATATTATCACCTAGTATTTAGTAAACGTGACCTACCCGAACAAACTGAAGTGATAGATTTTTGAAAAGTTAAAGTTCGTAACATATTCTGTTACTTGCTTTATTATTTTTAGGGTTCCGTACCTCAAAAGGAAGAAACGGAACCCTTATAGGATCACTTTGTTGTCCGTCTGTCCGTCTGTCCGTCCGTCCGTCCGTCCGTCCGTCCGTCCGTCCGTCTGTCAAGACTCTTTTTCTCAGGAACGCGTGGAGGTATGAAGCTAAAATTCAATTACTCAGGTCAAATAAAATCAAACTTCTAAGCCAACGCAATCAAAAGATACAGCCGTTTATGCCGCAAATTTTCGACACTTGCAAGGGAATCAAAACCTACAGGGTGCTTCCCGTGAACTTAGAATCTTGAAATTTGGTACGAAGCAACTTCTTATAGCATAGATAAAGGAAAAATTACGAAAACCATAAATTTTTAGTTACATCACATAATATATATTTTTTTAATAGGTAATTTTAAACTTACTACCCATTTCCTCATAAACGCGTAAAGGTATTAAATTGAAATTCATACCAAATACTCAGGTCTATACTACCTTTAAGCTGTAACAAAATCAAACATCTATGTCAACGCAATCAAAAGAAACAGCAATCGACCTAGAATCTTGAAATTTGGCATGAAGCAACGTTTTATAGCACGCATAAAGGAAAAATTCCGAAAACCTTAAATTTTTAGTTAAGTACATTAAACCTTGCAGGTTTGTACGGAACCCTCGGTGCGCGAGTCCGACTCACACTTGGCCGGTTTTTTATTATATTCCAATGTCTTTGTAACAATTCCAAAGTCAATATCATTTTCATAATTAGTAGGTTCTCTCCATAGCATTGATGAATCAAATGGAAGGATACCTACGTTTTCTCCTGATGACCACTGAAGTAAGACAAGTCAGCAGCTTTCGCAAAAAAATCACTTTTTAACTTGATTTGCAATAGGAATCCAAAATAATGAAGATATATTTCAACGAGTCTACTATGAGTCTTATCGTTTTCAATCGACTTTAAAGAGAAGGAAGAGGTTCTCAATTCGACTGTATTTTTTTATTTGTTACTCGATTACTCGAAGACGCCTGGACCGATTAAATATCACATATGACAATCATAACAAAAACTATCAAATCTTAGGTTTCACTTTTCTATTCGACATTTGAAATCAATACCAAGAAAAACGGTTGTTTGAAGCGAACGAAACACTATTAAAATATCGTCACAACGTAAGGGAATTTAAAAAAAAAAATGATTGGAAAAAAAATTGTATCGTGTTAATATATTTCTGTTAACTCTTTTAGGGTCGATTTTTCTAACGCCAGATACATTTTAACAGATGAATAACTTTGAATATTGCCAATTCTTCCATACTGAAAACTGTCAAATGTCATATTTATGATACACTTAAGAAATAACAGATGATTGAAAAATCGGCCCTTAGGTGTAAGGAAGGTAGACTGAAATATAGTTGGCTTAAAATAAAAACTAGTGATCTAAGATAGACTAATACCAATTAAATTTTTCATTTCCATGCCCTGGTAACTACCCTATTTGAGTGAAATTTGACACAACGATAGTTTGAGACTCGATAAAAGCATAGAATTGTTATTATCCCGGTAATTCAGAACAGGAACAAAGCCTTCAAATCCCAGGACATTTTGTCTCTTAATTTGCAGGCCATTCGATATAATGAGAGTTTGGCCCTGAAAAAGGGCGTAAGATAGTTTTTAAACTTGATGTGATCGGATACAGTATGGGTATTACTTTTTCATTTTTTTAAATGGGGGAATATCATCGAATGACTGCTCCCGCCTGGGTGAGGCGGGAGGGAGTGTCAGACTCTTACTGACTAAAAACCACCCCGTTCCTTCTCCTGCACGTCGAGCCGGAGCCCTGGTTACCCGTTAGGTTCTCCGCGACTCCGAATCGGCATCGGCCCTATTGGGCCCCATCTGTGGAGGTCTGATAGCTCTTTGAGGCGCGCGCGGAACGAGACGCGCCGTACGCTCGGGTGTATATCGAGTATCCAGTATACAGTATGGGTAAAACCCCAAAGTAATTTTTCCGAAACCACGGAAATCAATTGATTTCACAATAAATATCTAATCAGTAGAATCGATTCTGACGACTGTCGTTACAGTCGTTGAATATACGTCAGTAAAGATTAAATCAAAAGTCTGAATTATTCTACACGGCCGAAGTCAACTGGTACTTAAAACATTCGCGAACTACGTAGGTCACATTATGGAAATACCTTTTGAGTACCTATAAATAAAATGTTACTCCCTTCGAAATGCCACTTCACGCTACGTGCTTCTTATAGAAAAGTCGCCTACTGACAACTCTAAAAGTATTCCTATATTTTTGTGGCAAAAATTAAAGTGTTTCTTTTTCAAGACAGCTCGCAAATGACGCTGCAAAGGTAACATCCTCACATCAGAATCATCATCGTATCAGCCGCCATTTTCCGAATGACTGACCGCAGATGGGGCGGGAAAGTGCTCGGGTGGAGATCACGGAACGCAAGACGAATCGCGGGCAGGCCCTTCCGTTAAGTGGACCGAAGACATCATCAGAGTTGCGGGGAGTTAGTGGATATAGGTGGCAAGCTGCCGTGCGGCGTAGAGGACTAAGAGGGGAACCTTTGTCCAGCCGTGGACGTATTCCATGTACTTATTGAAGATGATGACAAGCCTTTTCCAAAAACATATATAACCTAACGAGATTCCTAACTAAACCGAACTTGATTTTCCCATTCAGAAAATATTCATATAATGTGTATTTTACGACTAAAGGTGAGTATGAACGTATACGTAAGATGAACGGGCTAAACTTAGGTTTATCTTTAAGAAGAATCTGAAGTTCGATATCAGGTCAGTTTCCGTCGTGATATTCCATCTTTATTGAGCACTACTGATGCAGTGCTTAGCCGTTTATCAATAATATTTCGAACCTAAGTTATCTACCATAGATATTATGATTTTCGGTATTTTGCTACGTACCCTAGAAGAATGTGTAGGCTGTGAATGGGACTGATTATTTTTACATTGTTTCGTTTTTCACTTTCTTCTATATTTTAAGCAAAAGGCTTGTGGTTACTCTTAAGTTACAGCCGGCTAATCTTAAGTTTACGTTCACACCTTCCTTTAACCGTAACATATACAATAAACATTTGTATTTTTAATAATCTCTTTATTATTATATTATTTTTAGCAACCTTGAAGACCTTGGAAATAGCGAAAAGAATGAAAAAGAAAAAAATTTAGCGCCGCATCCTAGAAAATGGGACATAGCGTGGAGGGATTGTACCATATCTCTAATATTCCACATCGGGGCTGCTTATGGATTATATTTGTCCTTTACTGCAGCCAAGTGGCAGACTTGGGTCTTTGGTAAGTAAGGAATGAAGTGATCACAACGTTCTGATAAAATATCGTCCACATCACATCAACCCATAGTGTCCACTGTTGAACAAAGGCTTCTTCTCATAATTAGTATATAGGTTTGAACATTAATCGCCACGCTTGCTTAATGTGGATCAGAAATTTCAAACTAAGGTATAAAGTTTTAGTTCATGCCAGGATTTCACTTATACGTAATTTTTTTTTATTTCAGCAATTCTGTTGCACGTGGTTACGAACCTTGGAGTAAGCGTTGGAGCCCATAGACTGTGGACACACAAAAGTTTCCAAGCAAAGCTGCCTCTTCGAGTCATACTGTTGTTCCTTTTTACTATGGCTTTTCAGGTATGTTAATTGTGGCTATTTATGTTTGATTATTCAACTTATGTCAAATATACGATTTTGTGAGAAGATGGACGACTGATGAATTAGTTTTAAGTAATTATAATTATTGTATAAGATACCAATAGTAAATAAGTAATTTTTTTTATTGTTTAACTGTATAATGTTTTGGCTTGTGCTGTTAAATTATACATGTGCTTATAAATAAATAAATAAATTAGACTTACAATACGTCTGTAAAACTCAAAGTTTCTTCAAGTCAATTTAACAGTTATACAATAAACGGTTAAATAAAAACATGTAAAAGTACCTAAGGCTAGGCCTATTGTCCACAGCGCTTGTATTTAAATAAATTAACTATGATTTTTTTTTTTCATAGTATTCAGTAGTGTCGTGGTCTCGCATTCATCGAATGCACCACAAGTACACAGACACGGATGCTGACCCTCATAACGCTAAAAGAGGCTTCTTCTTCTCTCACATGGGTTGGTTGATGATTAAAAAACATCCAGAGGTCAAGGCACATAAGGTTGACATGAGCGATCTAATGCAAGACCCGTTACTGCGGTTCCAGCACAGGTAAGAAAGAAAAATGGATCGATAAATTAGTAGGTAATCTACTTTTCACAAAGAGTAATTGAAGAAAACTACTTCTAAAACATAATAATATTAACGTAACTATCAATGTTTCAATCGGAGCTTATATTGATAAGATACCTCTGGTATCTGAAATGTCGGCGAGCCACATACTACCAGCGTAGCGTCAGAATGTCATCACTTGACGAGGATTATTTAATGTTAAGACTATACAGAAACATTTCTTGTTTTTTTTTTAAGAAAAAACGTTGCTCCGCCCTTCGATTTGCTCGTGTGTCGTGAATGCGTTTACAAACATACAAGTTCACATACACATGACACCCAGACCCGAAACAACAATTTGTGGATCACACAAAGAGTTGTTCCGTGCGGTGATCGAACCGGGCGACACGTTGCACAGCAGCCCGTGGCCCAGACACCGCGCCAACCGTACAGTCAACATTAGATGTTTACAACACATTTTAATTAGAGCCTTTAACAAAATCAAAGTTTCATTTACAAAAGCACCTTGTCTGATAATTTAGTCAAGATCAAAGCTTATTTAAACTAATAGATTAATAATTTCTCCTCTTTCAGACATTACTGGGAAGCTCTTTTTCTGTTATGTTTCTTATTACCGACATACATCCCCACCATGTGGGGAGAACAAGCGAGAACCGCTTTCTATATTTGTGTATGTTTACGGTACATCGGCTCTCTCCATATCACTTGGTTAGTGAACTCTGCAGCTCACATGTGGGGCTCAAAACCTTATGATAAAAATATGACGCCAGTAGAAATCAGGATAATATCATTATTAGCTGGTGGAGAAGGATTTCATAACTACCACCATGTTTTTCCATGGGATTATAGAATAGCTGAGTTTGGAGGTTACTCCCTCAACATTGGCAAGTTGTTCATTGATATCATGGCCAAAATCGGATGGGCGTACAATCTTAAATCGGTACCAGATGAGCTGATTGAAAAACGGGTGAAGAGAACTGGTGATGGCACACACCCAATTTGGGGCTGGGATGACCCAGACTTACCACTGGAAGATAGAGATATGTCAATCGTAAAATAACAAACGCCTGTCTAGTCAATACTTTTGTGTACATAAATATAGTTATTAAAATAATAAAAATATATGTTTTTTTTTCATTAATAGTTACTGTCACCACTTTATACCTTATCCTAAGTCCTACTATTCTAGTCATGTTAGGCGCTGTGCAAAGATAGACACTTTTTGTTTCCAGTTGTCGACACACATATTTTTAAGGTCAGAGTCCTAAACAATTCAAATTTTCGTAGATAGTTAGCACGTGTCTTAGAAGTGCGATTTGTGAACATGTTTGGATTTTGTATTGTACTAACTACATATATGTACTAAATTTATCTATGTTTGTTACTTGTTCACGCTAAAACTAATCCTCGTAAAGCTACAATTATATCTTTTTTTCAAAGACATTGCCCCACCTTAGAATTTTCTCCTGTGTCGTGAGTACGTTTACAATCACAAACAAGTTTACATACACAATGACACCCAGACCCGAAACAACAATTTGTGGACCACACAAAGTGTTGTTCCGTGCGGGAATCGAACCCGCGACACGTTGCACGGCAGCCGGTTGCCCAGCCACCGCACCAATCGTGCAGTCGAAATATAGGTAATTCAGAAGATATGTCTTAAAATAAAAACTTAAGAAAGCAAAGACACGTGCGGGCGGGAAAATTCTGGCGAGGTCGCGGGTCATTAGATAGTAATTCACAAATGTAGGTAATTTACATAACTTATTATTTGCCTGTATGTGATTAAATACCGGAGCACCCATTTTTGCCCGATATACATATACTATGATCATTTGTAATATCCATACATCTGACACATTTCAATACCCTTGATACATCGGGGAATTAAAAAAACAATCTCTAATACATTGTAGGAAATTAAATGTCTAATACATTTAATACTTAGTAGGAAATTAAATCCTCTGGTTATTCGTGGTTACGTGTATTCGCTGTTGAAAACTTCCTTATCATGGTAAATCTGCAGTGCCCTACTGTTAGAGTATAACGTAATTGTTCGTTAGGTTAGGTTACTTACCTACTATAAATTAATAATTTTAATGTTTATTTTTATAATTGTTCTAGAAAACTAATTTCATTTATTAGTAATATCTAATTGTATCTTATTGCTTTTGGCACTTTTGGCTACACGTGCCAATCGGGACTTGGTCAGCAAATCTGGGTGCGACGTCTGTCCATCGATTGCTTAACTCCTCCCTCCCTAAGCTGGAGGCGCGTCCCGGGGCTTCCCGTAGCGTCCTCGGTACGGTTGTCATCTGATTTCTGCTTCTGACTGCGTTGTTTCCATTGAAGTGCTTTCTAGGTGATTACTCTCCCGATGATCAGATCTGATTTGTCATCTTGGGTGATCTCCCTACATCCTTCATCTAGTAATGAATACTCTTCTCTACCTATTTACAGAAAAAAATTGTTTATCAGGGAATGAAATAGATGTGAAGGAGGTAAAATCAATGGAAGATATCTCTAAAAAAATTACGTAAATTTTTTATTTCGTTTTCAAAGTTCGTTGCATCTTCATAATTTAAATTTCTTGTCATAGCTATGATGACGGATACTAAACCATATATTTTTACCTCGCCTAATGGTGCAATAAATATAATTTTCTTACTTATTAAATTCAAACTAAAATCTATCTGGTCTTTACAGGTCTCATAATGGTTATCCCCTAAAATCCTGATTTCAGCGGCTTTAACGCTGACGGCCAATGTAACGACGTATAGTTTTCATTATAATTTCATGTAATTAGGAAAAATTATAGACACAAACCAAGCTACACGTGTCAACCTGTTTAAGAACTTGTCCTTGTTTTAGCCTGTGGTTTTAGCAATAGTATGTTGTTATAATTATTTTCAAGACTAAGGATCATGTTGGCTGCTGCGTAGAGGATACTACTGTATCCTCTAGTAGTACGCCTAGGTACTCCTAGGCGTATACGCGTGAGTTCTAACATCATTTGATTTTTCCATCGTATTTCGCCTAATTTACGTATTATCGCGTTTCTTATAGCCTGCCAGGTTTATGTGACTCTTCATACGTAACGGTACCGCTCAGTCTACTCATGATAAGACAAATAAACGCTGAATTCTTTCTAGCATACTCCGCAACCTTATTTATCGCGTATGAAATAATTAAGGGTCTCAGGGTTTCCGTCATAATTAGGTCTAAGATCCCTGACAAATTTTAAGTTCGGTACACTACTGCCTATACTTTAATATCAATATAGCGTGATGATAACGTTAAAATTGTAATAATAGGTACATTAAAATGTTAATTAAAACGTATGTACTTAAATCTATCGCGATTGTAGCACAAAGACAACTATAGTAACACGATATGCGTCCATACATACCCGAGCGTACGGCCACGGAAAGAGCCATCAGACCACCACAGATGGGGCCCAATAGGGCCGATGCCGATTCGGAGTCGCGGAGAACCTAACGTGTAACCGGGGCTCCGGCTCGACGTGCAGGAGAAGGAACGGGGTGGTTTTTAGTCAGTAAGAGTCTGACACTCCCTCCCGCCTCACCCAGTCGGGAGCAGTCATTCGATGATTTCCCACCCTTAAAAAAAAAATATGCGTCCATACATGGAATATTAGACGACACACAGGATACACAGGAACTGGGTAAACTATTTATACTCACCCTAGAAACTTAGCCATCTCCAGTCGAGGCTTGTATAACAATAGGACTCCCAATTTTCCTGAACTCCTACAGGATTATATCGCTCGTAGATTCATGGAGTTCGGAACACGAAGATACAGTGATCGATATAGGAGAGTTATATTCTAGCTCGAGTGTCGCGATCCTACCGACTGCGCCAGTTAAGTTGCGGCGGACGAGATATTAATAACAAATTAATTTAATTTTTATGTTACAATCACTACAATGTTACAATGGTTTTAGAAGACTACATTATAATTATTATTAGTAATAGATATCTAATTGTAACTCATTCTTAAATATAGGCTTTCGGCTACACGAGCCGATTTTCCGGAACTTGGTCAGCAATCATGGGCGCGACACAATTGTCCACCGATTGCTTAACTCGAGTTTTAATTTTATTTGTAGGTATACATAGTTGACACACTTCCACGTGTCTCGATGACTTGTTTTACATATAAATAGTTAATAAGTTTTCTACAAGAATAAAATTAGCATGACTTAATTCTATTATTTGGGTCATATTATGCATGCGAACAAATAAAATCTACAATTTTGTAATTTTATTCAGCAAATAAAATATACTAACACTAGAAAGACGGACAGGGGTCTGTTGACCCATTTTAAAGTTTCGCGTTGTATAATTTCGAAAGTACCTAATGAAATGTTTCATATTCTCGTGACTTTTATTAAATTAGTTTAAATACCAGTACAGTCATGGGATTCATCATCATCATCATCATCATCATCATATGAGCCATAGTCCACTGCTGAACATAGGCCTCCGCCAATGACTTCCAGATAAGCCGGTTGGAAGCGACCTGCATCCAGCAGCTCCCTGCGACCTTAATCAGGTCGTCTGTCCACCTTGCGAGTGGACGTTCTACGCTGCGCCTGGCGGTTCGTGGCCTTCACTTGAGAACCTTCTAGCCCCAATAGCCGTCGGTTCTCCGTGCTATGTGCCCTGCCCACTGCCACTTCAACTTGCTAATCCGTTGGGCTATGTCAGCGACCTTTGTCCTTGAGTTTATTATCATTAATTACATTACATCAAGTAAACATAGTGTTACCAAGTATACCGTCAAGAGATCTTTTATTGTATTAAAATATCTGATTGCGGTCATCCTAGTAATATTGTAAATGCGAAAGTTTGAACCTATAAGCAAAACACGTGAATGTAGCAAACAGACTAAATTTTATTCCATCTTTTCAAATATATATAGAAGATTATATTTTTTAATATACCATAAACAAACATTACAAATGTAAGTCTCTACGTTTCAACAGAGATGGTATATCAAGTAGCAGAACACAAACGAAGACTTTATTATTTTGATACATCATTACAACACCCCCACTTATCAAAATAAACAAATAAAATTATTTTGGTACAATTCCAAATTTATGCAGAAACTTATAATGCTTAACAAGACATAACTTAATAAACCTTTAGTGAACATAAACATAACATCACGCCTTTTTATCCCCGAAGGGATAGGCAGAGGTGCACATTGTGCCATTGTACAATGTAACACCCACTTTTCACTATTTATGTTATGAGTCCCATGTAATAGGGGGTGAGCCTATTGCCATATACCGGGCACATTTCCAGACTCCGTGCTACTACTGAGGTTTTTACAAACCCAGTAATACTTTGCCCGACCTGGGAATCGAACCCGAGACCTCTTTAGTGAACATATCAGCTGTCATTTCTTCAGTACATAATTACATAACTTTAATATATTTATACTTAACAACATCTCTTACATAATGATATTTCACATCAATATGTTTCGATATACTGTTGTTGGTCTACAGTTATTACATTTTTATTTTCACCTACATTTATTCTCATTCCTAAATATTATCTTACAGGTCCCAAATCTTTTAATTTAAATTCTGTACTTAAAACACGTTTCAAGTTATCTGTTTCAACAAAATTATTAGAAAAAATAAAAAATCATCAACATAAATGGGCCACAATTATTTTCATTTCACCTTTGGTTTTTGTGAACCAACAAGGCTCATACTGACTGTTTTGATCTCTAACCTACAAAGTAAATCTTTAATTCTGTCATACCAGACAAGAGAAGATTGTTTTAATCCATAGATTGCTGTTTTTAATTTCAATAACTTTACCTCAAGTACTAAAGAATCAAGAGCTGGTAACATTACTTTAGGTAAATATTTGTCTACATATAAAAATTCTTATACATATAGATTCTAAAAAATGAAGCATTCAAACTTGTTGATAACATTCAAAGAACTTGAAAATGTTATATACCAGATGCGCGCAAAACCCGCTATGTTTCAATCAATGAAAGATTGTATGATCGAAGAAAATTTAACTAGTTACTTATTTATATAAGTTTGGGTCATCGATAAATATATAATTAAACATAAAGATTAATTTTAAGTAACTTGCCCCTTCCTTGTTACATTTAAATACGTTTTTTGATGTGTTGGGTCAAAATTATCCCTTGCCGCCTTTCTAGGTAAATTATTGTTCCAGTCTTTCTAGTCGTGTTAATATTATGACATAATATATCACCATATATTAGGTACAATAGGCCACTGAAAATATCACTAGATACTAGACACAATTGTACCACAAAAGTGGTGTACACTTTCAAGACATACTTTTTTGGTGACATAATAAAGTGTTCTATTTTTGAGGACAGCTCATAAATAATGATACAAAGGTAATAAAGCTAAGAAGTTTCTTTTACTCAGATATTATCTATTTTGTATTTGTAATACTTGTTAATCTTGCCAATATAGCCATGGTGGTAATCAAGAGTGGAGGCAAGTTTCGCAATCTGTCTTCCCAAGTTCCTTAACCAACTTTTTTGTGCATTTGTAATACTGACCTTTGAGTGATGGCTTCATTCAATAGTTCCTTCAACGTTCAATAACCCGTGAAAGACTATTGCTGCACATGAGCGTCCTGAGTTCCCGTTAACTCTACGCTTGGCAGACAGGAGCGTAGTTTAAAAGGTTCATGTTTATCTGAGATGCTGCTGCGCGGTCTCTATTATATGTTCATTGAACATACTTATAGTTAGTTAGTTAGTTAACTCGGAAATAGGGATAGCGAAAAATTTAGAAATTCTACCCAATTTCTTTTTAAGGGGGGAAAATCATCGAATGAGTTCTCCCGCCTAGGTGAGGCGGGAGGGAGTGTCAGACTCTTACTGACTAAAAACAACCCCGTTCCTACTCCTGCACTTCGAGCCGGAGCCCCGGTAACCCTTTAAGTTCTCCGCGGCTCTGTATTGGCATCAGCCCTATTGGGACCCCATCCGTGGCGGTCTGATGGCTCTTAGAGGCGCGCGCGGAAGGCGACGACGCGCCGAACGGGTCTGGTTGTGGTCGGGCGGCGAGCCGCCCATGCTCGCCGTCTGCAGGCTCGCGCTTACGGTGGCCGGAGATAATCACGCGAACCCCGACGCCCGGAGTGTCCTTCGCGACGGCTGGGTTGTGAGAAGGCAGCGAAATTCTATCCACCACAATATCATCATCTTCGACAGATCATCCACAAACCTGAACATACGCCTGCCCCAATTACTTCCAGGATTAGCCGGTCGGAAGCAACCTGCATCCAGCGGTTCCCTTGGAATATCATAAAACCTAATTCCTTTATATTAACCGGGCTGTTTGTTACCCAGGTTTGCTCGCATGGAAGTTGATTATAAATTCATTCCTTATTACACAAAATTCATTTCATAAGCCTAAGTACAAAGTTTATTGTTTCTCAGATAAAAATAATGTAAGTCCCAACAAACTTTTAGCCATTTTTTATCTCTTCTCTTATTTAATAAAATGTCAAAAAATCCTGAAACAGTCTATAAACCTATTTGTTTTACGTCAAGAACCGGAATACGTACAAAATTTTGTTAATTTTACTTTCAAAATGACAGACTTTTATAATTACAAACTATCACCCTCTATTTTGACCTCTAACAGTACCTACATAGCCAAGTGAAATGCACTTCGAATTTGTATGTTTATAGTATTGATAGTTTGCGATGTGCTTGGTGAAGATGAATCAGTCATCCATTAAGTCAGTCGGGACATCTTTACTAATAAAACTATAAATTGGAAAGTGAGTTTGTTTGTTTGTTTGTTCCGCTTTCACGCTATAACTACTAACCGGATTGCATTGAATTTTTGCAGACGTATAGTTAGAAGTCTGGATTAAATAATAGGGTACTTTTTATCCCGGAAAAATTGATATTCCCGAGGAAAAACAAAAGTATTGGTATAGATGGCGCTGTGTGTATTGGAATATGTCACATATGCTACTTTTTATCCTTTTGTGACGCGAGCGAAACCGCGGGTAAAAGCTAGTATTATTTATAAGTATAGATTAATTCATGCCTATGTATAACTTCCAGTAACGTCGAAGAACATGCAAAGACGGATAATAATGAAAAAGAAAAGAAAGACGAACCATTGCTGCCTCACCCTAGGAAATGGGACATAGAGTGGAGAAATCTGATCTTATTTATCATTTTCCACATTGGAGCTGTTCGTGGAGTATATTTATTATTTACCGCCGCCAAGTGGCAAACATGTCTCTTTAGTAAGTCGGGAAATAATTATTATTTAATTTTTTTAATCTATATCTATACTTCTATACTTATACTTTATACTTTATAAAGAGGAAAGATTTGTACCTATTTTTGTATGTTTGTAAAGAATAGGCTCAAAAAGTACTGGGCCGATTTAAAAAATTCTTTCACCAATAGAATGCTATATTCTTCCAATTTGATATAGGCTACATTTCATTTTGAAAAAAATTAGGAATCCTTGGTAAAATTTGAACAATGTAACCGAAGGTGTAGAAAAATGAGTTTTAAGATGTCTTTCGTCGAATGCGCTGCCGAAACTATTAGCGATAGAACAAAATAATGTACAACATTATTGAAGAACATCATAATGTCTACAAAAAACTACGCGGTAGCATATGTCCAACTATTGTAGTTATATCACTACAACAATCCAATTTTCCAAAAATTAATAATTATCTACCCCGTGCGAAACCGGGACGGGCTACTAGTCGTTTATAAACTAAAGGAATACTGAAAACTGTAGGTACCTACTTTACTAATATTATGAATACAGTACCTATCACAAATATATGTAGATAGGTAGTTTGATATTTTAGCATGTCTCTTTACATTGAGGTAACGTTCTAATTTGACTTACAATATATGTTTATTTTTATTTTAGCCTTGCTGTTGTATATCGCTACATCTATTGGCATAACGGTTGGGGTCCACAGACTATGGTCACACAAAACATTCCAAGCCCGGCTGCCTCTGCGACTCATACTGTTGTTCTTTTCCACGATGGCATTTCAGGTACGTTTATTAATAATTGTGTTTAACTAAAACTAAGGTATACTGTTTGACGTTAAAAATAGTAAGGACCCAATCCCATTATGCCCGTCTCCGTAAATTGTTCTATCAGTTGCAAACAGTATCTAATACCCTATTTTCTAAAAGTACTTGATAATTAAAGAAATTACGATAATATTCCAGTGATTACTGATGATCCTGTAATACTTCAAATATATTATATTAGGTTAGTTCATCAGATAGAGTTAAAAAATAGTAGGTACCTACTTAAAACTTAAACTAACAAAATTATGAAAACTTTGTTTGTTATAGTTTTCAGTAGTGGCGTGGTCACGCCTTCATCGTATGCACCACAAGTACTTAGACACGGATGCAGACCCCTATAATGCTAGGAGAGGCTTCATCTACTCTCACTTTGGCTGGATGCTGATCAAAAAACATCCGGAGTACAAATTACGTATAGTTGACATGAGCGATCTATTGCAAGATCCTTTACTACGATTCCAGAACAAGTAAGTATATTTATGTCAAAAAACGCCCATAATGGTTGGGTAGAAAACCCGCCAGGCACGATCACCTGTCCTAGTCGAAGGATCTTCCTTTTTTAGGGAAAACTCTCTGTTTCCTAAAAACTCAACTCGATTTAAGGTATGCAAGAAAGAGATAGAATCTAGATTTTACTGCGCAAGAGTGTAAAAACAAATTTGACCAGCACTAATTCTATGGATTGTCAGTATTCGTGTGTGGGCACCATGTTAGACGTTAAGATTTTTTCTTTTTTTTTAATTTTAGTAAGTTATTAGTATAATGCGTCAAGCGTGTCTTTGCATTGTTCTTACATATGCGTACAGTATTGAAATATGTATCAGAGACATTGTAGAACTAACATTTTTAAAAAAAGAGTAACGAATGGAGTTTCTTGCTCGTTCTTCTCCATTCGAATCTACTTTTTGGAATGAGCACCTAGCTTCACCTTGTTTCACTGACGGACTGACTGACAGACCATTATTTCTTTTGTATTTGTTGACGTTTCAAAAGTACCAAACTATGGTTTAATTGAAATAAATGCTTTGACTTTGACTTTGACTTTGACCTCTTTCTCAAGTATGTTTTGTTAGATGTTTTATTAGAATTTGTGTACTCAGTAACTATTGTTGTTACAGTTGTTGAGTAGGTAGTTACCTACTCAGTAACAATGTTTTATTAGAATTTGTGTACTCAGTAACTATGTAGTGTTATGTGACTTGATTCACATTTATATCGATTGCACAAAGTTGTCCAAAGGTTTTTATGGAATGCAGCACATCATTAGCAAGAGGAGAGATTGTAGAATTATTGAGGAACTTGGAAGATCCCGGTCGCTTTTGGTTTTCTTTTTGTACCCTTATAAACAGCTGTAGCATGCAATAACTTTAATTAACATTTTTGCTTTGCGAGTCAATTAAAACAAAACTAGGTGATTAATGTCACTAATTTTGTATTTAAAAGTATTCTTGATACCTACACATTAATATACACACACAATACACATTAAAATAAAATTAAAATTCAGAGTCTATGCCTTGTACATGCCTTGTAATTTTTTTTTAAAATCAGTGTTTGTGATTTGTTTTTGTACAATTTGGGTTTAAACTGTCAAAGACCAAGCGGTCACCGGTGACCGCAACCTATTGTTCTATAATTGTGTCTGCAAAACCGGTACTCGACGAGTTAATTAAATCAATAAAACGTCGATTTCAAAATCTACAAGGCATGAGGTAATTTGGCACACGATGCATCAAACATCCTGAACATTAAAAACCTTGCTATATGATACTTTGGAAAATATTAACAGTCAATAACAATATGTGCAGTCACCCGAAAGACAAATATTATTATAGCAGTGTGCCCTGCTTGGGCTAAGCGCCGCCGCGCTGCGTCCTCAGGGAAGTGATTGGCGGCGGCGACCTCGTGCTCGGTACTGGTTTAGACTATGACTTGGTGAGGGAGACTGGCTACTCGCCTTCTGCGAAACATTTATGCGGACCCTCAGCTGGCAGAATGTGTGACGAGGCGAGCTTCCTCTCACCCCAGGAGACCCTTTTAGTCAGTAAGAGTCTGACACTCCGTCTCATTTAGGCCCGGTACAATAATTTACTTACTTTCTCCTTTTCAGCCATTATTGGGAAGTTCTATTCATTGCATTCTTCCTAATACCGACATACATACCCACTTTATGGGGAGAACAAGCGAGCACAGCTTTCTATACTTGTGTGTGTTTACGCTACATATGCGCACTCCATGCGATCTGGCTAATCAACTCAGCAGCTCATATGTGGGGCACGAAACCGTATGATAAAAACATGACACCAGTTGAAACTAGAATTGTGGCATTACTAGCCGCTGGAGAAGGATTTCACAACTACCACCACGCTTTTCCATGGGATTATAGGATAGCTGAGTTCGGAGGTTACTCCCTCAACATTGGCAAGTTGTTCATTGATATCATGGCTAAAATCGGATGGGCATACAATCTTAAATCGGTACCAGATGAGCTGATTGAAAAACGGGTGAAGAGAACTGGTGACGGTACACACCCAATTTGGGGCTGGGATGACCCAGACTTACCATTGGAAGATAGAAATATGTCAATCGTAAAATAACAAATTAGATATGCTATATTTAATATTTTTGGGTAACTGAATATAATTATTAAAATAATTATAAATATGTCCATGTTTCTTTAATTTAGTAATCAATCAAAACTTTCTACCTTATTAGTATTAGGCGCTGTGCAAACGTAGACATTTTTTGTTTGACACACAATTTAGCGCAGTAGTTTATGCAGTTTTGAAATCCTCGTAAAGCTACTATTACAAAAGGTACTCTAAGATATCCTTCTTAGAATGAAAAATTAAGAAAGCAAAGAAACGTGCGACCGACAAAATTCGGGCGCGGTCGCGCGCGCGTCATTACCTACAAAGTAATTCACAAATGTAGTGTTAAGTAATTTACATAATGTATTACTTACATTGTATGTATACCTAGCAGCATTTTATCACGTGACATATACAATGACTCATTTTTAATATTTCCATACATCAGACACATCTTAGTAGTACCCTTGATACAACGGGGAATTTAAAAAAAGCTAAAAGTCTCTATAACACTTTGTAGGAAATCGAATCCTCTGGTTAGTTTTGGCAACGATTTCACCTGTCCTGATGAAATATCCTAAAATAATTTGATTCGACGTCACTTCATCAAAATAGACAATCTGAGATCAATATGTAATCACATCCCAAACCAGGTTAATCAAAATCTAACTATATTATAAATGCGAAAGATTTTATGTTGTTTGTTGACACACACATGTGACTCCTTCACGACAAATTGGCTGAAGGGAACCAGCGTGGATTATGGTCTGGTATACCGCATAGACTACTTTTTATCCCAAAAACGCAAGCAAAGCCGCTGGCATAAGGTAGTAAATATATATTTTGATTAAGTAAGTAGCTACTTAGGTACTGACAGTCTTTATATTCCGTTCTGTACCCACAGACGTCATCATATATAAAGGTATAATTAGAACAATAAATTAAATCTAATTGTCTATATATCTACATATAAAACGCTTCTCTTAGTAAATGAGTGACCAACAGACTAGCAGACAACGTAGATCCGAAACTCAAATTTCCCAAACTACTGGTCGTAAGTCGTAGAGAGCTGATATTCTGATGATGTTTGCTACAGCTATAGAATCTAGGAAAATACTAATTAAAAATTCCAAATTCTGCTAGAAGTCGTTATTCCGGACGGATAAAGTCGTAGGCAAAAGCTAGTGTTACAATAACATGATTCGTTCATAAATAAAAAAAGACAGTTTCAATCGCATTAATTCGAGCAATAAATAAAAATTGAATATGAATAACGTAAACTTTTTATATTCATTTTTTAGAATATTTATATATTGCTACATAACACTAAGAAATGCCATTGGTAACTCTGTAGGTCATCAAGAAAAGTCGTACATGGAGTAGTTTGGAAACAACTCTATAAGATTTCATAAAAACTCTGTGTTCTTCATATAGAAGTCAAGATTTACAAATGTCGATACAAAGGTAAAATACTGCCGATTATTGCTTTATGTTATAAATTAATTAAAAGTAATTTCATGTTCTTCCAAGCTTTATATTAATTTCATTGGTGTACGTAAAATATATTTTACTTTCTATGCTCTATAGGTACTGCACAAGTCAACATGTTTTAATATACTGTATTTTTTAATGTCACTCATTATTTTATATGATTGATACTTGTAAATTAAGTAGGTATACATTTTTCGTCGATACGGAGCCACGGAGGACTTAACGGGTTGCCGGGGCTCCGGCTCGAAAGGCAGAAGTAGTAACTGGGTGGATTTTAGTCAGTAACAGACTGACACTCCCTCTCGCCTCACCCAGGCGGGAGCAGTCACTCTATGATTTCTCCCCCTTAAAAAAAACAATTTTCTTGGTTTCCTGCTAATTATTTTGTTTCGTTTCACTGATTTTGTAAGTCGCGCAAAGAATTTTCTACGGTCGTACTTACTTTTCTATTGAAATGTGTTTATGGACTACCTAAAACATAAGGGCACGAACATAAAACATCTTCACAATGATTAATTTGCACAAATTAACTGCCTTGTACAAAATTAAATGTACAATCAACGTTATTCTTTTTCAACTTTTTTAATTCCAGTGATCCTCTAAAGTTTAGAAGAACCGAAAATGATTCAATACACGATGAAAAAATTAATTCTTTAGCACCACATCCCAAAAAATGGGATATAGTTTGGAGGGAGGTGATCATATTTACCATCTTCCATATTACAGCTATCCGTGGTTTATATTTATTTATCACTGTGGCTAAGTGGCAGACTTGTATCTTTGGTAAGTATGAAATAAAAAAAAATATAAATAGGAAAATCACTACAGCTACACTACAAATGATATTTTAAGAATATTTAGGATAAGGATTGGAGTATAAGGAGATACGTACATAATATAAGGAGATGGAGTACACGATATTGAAAATAAACTATTATACATTTAATCCCCATTAATACAGAAGGGTGTCTGTGTAGTGTAGCATAGTAGTCCCAAACGCATAAACCGATTTTGATTTTGATTTTTTGCCAAAAATGTGATGACTGTTTTGTGTTTCAGCATTTGTGTTGTATATCGCCACGACGACCAGCGTAACTGTTGGTGCTCATAGACTGTGGTCACATAAAGCATTCCAAGCTAAGCTGCCTCTGCAAATCATCCTGTTGTTCTTTTTCACCATGGCATTTCAGGTAACATTGTTTTTTTTCTAAATAAAGCACCTCATTAAATATGTAATTTTTTGCTTGAAAAATGACTTAGAAATTTGTCTGTAAGGTAGATAAACTCCGTAGTTAACTCCAACACTCTATCAAAAACAGTAAAATAGAGAAGTAGAAACACTACATGTAAATCTACATACTTATAGAATAATTATGTACAATACAGCACATTCTGAACTATTGTACAGTTCTAAAAAGTTCTATCTTCACAGTATTCAGCCGTGATATGGGCGCGCCTTCACCGTATGCACCACAAATACTTAGACACGGATGCAGACCCTCATAATGCTGGTCGAGGTTTCTTCTTCTCTCACATTGGCTGGATGCTAATCAAAAAGCATCCAGAGTACAGAGCACATAAGGTTGACATTAGCGATCTAATGCGAGATCCGTTACTTCGGTTCCAGCACAAGTAAGTAAAATTTTATATATGTATATATACATCTATCTCAGCCTTAGGTCGACCTAAGCCTCAGATTTTACATTATATTACGTAAATCACTGGTGACATTTCGAAAAGGATTTCCTCGCGACTTTTTATTTTGTGTTAGGAAATAAAGCATATTTCTCCTTTTTCAGACACTACTGGGAAGTTCTATTCATTATATGCTTCCTAATACCGACATACATACCCACTCTATGGGGAGAACAAGCGAGCACAGCTTTCTATACTTGCGTGTGTTTACGCTACATATGCGCACTCCATGCGATCTGGCTAGTCAACTCAGCAGCTCATATGTGGGGCACAAAGCCTTATGACAAAAACATTCGACCTGTAGAAACTAAGGTAGTATCGTTACTAGCTGCTGGAGAAGGATTTCACAACTACCATCATACTTTCCCATGGGACTACAGAATTGCGGAGTTTGGAGGTTACTCCTTAAACACGGGCAGGTTGTTCATTGACATCATGGCGAAAATTGGATGGGCGTACAATCTGAAATCGGTACCAGATGAATTGATTCGGAAACGGGTGAAGAGAACTGGTGACGGCACACACCCAATTTGGGGCTGGGATGACCCAGACTTACCACTGGAAGAAAGACGAATGTCGATAATAAAGTGACAAAATACATAACAAATTATTTTTTTTATTCAATAACAATAAAACTACTAACATTTTATTTGTTTAAATTAATATACACATAACATAACATCACGCCTTTTATCCCCGAAGGGGTAGGCAGAGGTGTACATTATGCCACTGTACAATGTAACACCCACTTTTCACTATTTATGTTATGAGTCCCATGTAATAGGGGGTGAGCCTATTGCCATATACCGGGCACAATTCCAGACTCCGTCCTACTACTGGGAATTTTTGAAAAACCCAGTAATACTTTGCCCGACCCGGGAATCGAACCCGAGACCCCTTGCCTGGCAGTAGCACTTGCGACCACTCGGACAATGAGGCAGTCAGTTAATATACCTATATGTACTAATATGAATAGGTTTTTTAGAAGGTACCTAGATAATGCAAGTATTAACCGCTTGAATGAACCTGTATGAGACACAATAGAAAATACATTGTGTCTCGCATGGATCCACGTTTAGACACATGAAAGGTTAAAATGTTTACGTAGTGCAACAATGTGTCTTATAATTCTCGACAAGACAGACGTGTTTTTCCAGCCCCTCTGCTCACATGCCCCTAGTTATGCCCGGGCACTTGTAGGCTGTTGATGTGATACATAGGTACATAGGTATATTTATAAGTTTGGTAACAGGCTCGACAGAATTGATGTCACTCAATGCCCATAAACAAAGTAGATAATATACCTAAGTATACATATGAGGTGAACTCATTCATAGCTATTGTGAAGTTAACCTGATCCGAAAGATGGTGGCAAAAAAATTAAGATACCCACCACCACAAGAACCCCAGTTGGTAGTTACCAATCTACACACATGTAGGTGTTATTAATTGCCGATGACATAGGCGTAGGGAGGCTTGTTAATAGGGAAAACGTGTCAATCCAAAATAGCGCTATTGTAAAGCTCATTATGTTTTACCTCCGATGTATGAGAGAAAAAACATAACATTTGAGACGAATAGGTACGTTTAGGATAGTATAAATAGAACAGGACTAGATGTGATCGTTGCTACAAGACGGCGTACCACTTGACATGGTAAGTGAACTCACAATTAATTCTTTTAATTTCAATCTACTAAATTCCTAAGTAAAATATTCATGGCAATAAAATATAGCATTATTGCTCCTTTCATTAGACCTAAAAAAATATATTGTTTTTAAGGCAAAAGTTCTGGTGTTTATGCTGCTTACTGCAGCGACCGCAATGGCCTACCGAGTTGGCCGATCTCCAGGTAAATATTGAAACATCTAATCAATTCAGCAGTTCCTTGTCCTTCTGATTTATGGAACGATCTCATAATCTTAAACACTAAAAATACAGCAGGAATATGAGCTATTGGAAAGATGGTTTATAACTGTACGGTATCTCCAATGTATCATATTCCATTGTTAATATTAGAATTCCTTCAGGTGGTCCCGGCTGGCAGTCAAGTTACGACGGCCTACCTTACACTGGTATCGAGCGGTCCTATGGCAACAACTGGGGTGGACCTGGCCTCATCCGATCAGTCAGAAATGGTGGACGGAGCAGTAGCACCGTCGGATCCAACGTTCGGACGCGAAACGGTTACGGGCATAAGAGATCTCCAACCTATGGGTGGTCACAAAATGGTTACAATTCAAACAATGCCTATAGTGGTAGCTTCGCAAGATCAAATCCGGAGTTAAGAAACTCAGACTCCACAGTGATTGATAGCATCGATTCCTTAGCTTGGGACGGGTCAGGATTTTATTCAAACTATTGGCAATCCATGGGATGGTAGAAATAAATTTTTATTTAAATGTATTGACTAGATAATATTAATCAGGCTTTTCTGTTGCTGATATCCTTTAAATAAATGTTGGTTTTAATCCACTACTGTTGTTTTATTAAGACAAGTTTTCTAGTATTTTTAAACCAATCAAGGTAATTTACTTGGCAGGGAAAACGAGCAGGTGTTGCCAATAAATTGTTTGTTTTCCATTGATACATGAAAAGGGCGGTATGTCTAGCACTCAATCACAATTTCTATTGCAATCAAATTGCACCAATTAGAAATGTTACTGCTGTAGCTAAGTATTGTTACTTGCCTAAACTGTCTAGTATACGTAATACCATGGTACTCAAGTTAAATGTTGAAGTTGAAATCGAAAATAGGAGTTTGTAATTTTAATCCACTGGAGATAAAAACAGGTGAATTAGATCTATAAATTGTACTTATCCTTTTTTTAAAACAGTTAATTAACTAAGGGTAATTCTGAATTACCAAATATGGCTAGGTATTATTAGGTACTACTTCCTAAGTAAATAATAACTTTTCGACCATCAAATCAAAAAATTTGAATAAGCGAGGAATAAGATTACAGGAAATGCTATTTTTTGAGGGGGCAAATTGCAATAACTTCCAATCCTATAAAATCCAACAACTTCGCCCGCTTTGTGTTAGGCGAGTGTCAGATTCTTACTGACTAAAACTAACCCGATCCTACTCCTGCTCTTCGAGCTGGAGCCTCGGCAACCCGTTGGGCCTTCTGAGGCTCCGAATCGGGCATCAGCCCTACTGGACCCTGTTGTGATTTATGCATGTTCACATTTAATGGTGACCACCACTACATTGATTAGCTGTCACTTTCAACATAACTACAAATATTTAAAATCATTATAAAACGTAATTAAAATCTAATCTATATTTTTGGATACGTAAGATATTTTTTTACGTATTACCTACCAAAAACTTAAATTATTGACAAATAATTGCGATATTATAAAGTTTTAATTACAGAACAAGTAAAAACTAATAAGTATAGGTAATTTGTCTACAATCACAGAGAATAAAAACGACTGTCCTCTTTTTAATAAGCAAATCCAACGAATCAGTCAGTAGTCAAACTGAATCACATTTTGGATTAAGTAAAACGAAACACCACGTACATAAATGTGAGTGATATTTAATCTGATATTAACTAAATCTAACTTAATTTGTATTCGAAATGATATTGCTTAATGTAAAAGTTAAATCGGTCAATTTAAAATTCACTAGTTTTACTGTAGCATTAACGACGTTATAAGTAATCAGACACCATACAACAGTTTTCAAGAATTCTCAACTAATCCTGGTACAATAGTTAGATCCATCCTTCAGAATCAAGAGACAATACACCATCAAGAGACATCTCAACACAATATATAATTTTTACAACGTCACGATGTTGCTACAGGTATCATTTACTTACTTAAATTCACTTCAATTAAGGAGATCCTAAATACGATTTTTATAAAACGATATTTTTTTACAGGTGAAAAAAGTTTTTATCCGCTTGATTCCACAAACACATCGAGAAGGAAAGAGTGGAGCCCTAGTCACTTTGATAGTCCGCCTGATCTGCAACATGGGCCTTAAATCATACATGACTTACCACAAAGTACACTGGGCAGCTATCGTTTGCACATTCTGTTTCATAATTACTTGTTTGTTACAAGTCGTTGCGCTTTTTATGGCCACGGACGACCCAGAAAGACTCTTCGAGTGTTTCAGCGTTCTAGCTTTCTGTGGCATGGGAATCCTAAAATTAATTTCACTCCGCAAAAGCCATCATAGTTGGCGTAAACTTCTTACCCAAATATCGGTACTGGAAAACTCACAGAAGAAGAAAAGCTCTACCTCGTATCAATCGGATAATGAAGAGGTCGACAATTTTTCTGCCTATATCGATGACTATACAAAGAAATTTCAAAACACGTCAACGATTTTAACCAGAATTTACAGTTTCACTGCTTTTATATTTATCATCTCTCCCTTTGTCGAATACTTTATTTGCAAGATGCGAGGGATGGAATGTTTGGGATATCCCCATATTCTGCCTGGTTGGGCTCCCCTTGACAATTTAAGTTTTCTCGGCTACATCGTAAACGTTGTGGGCGAATTTCTTGCTGCGGTCTACTGCGTCTGCGTGCACATCGCATTTGATTTAACAGCTGTCGGTATCATGATATTCGTATGTGGCCAGTATTCCTTGCTCCGTGATTATAGTTCACACATCGGCGGTAAAGGGAATCATTGCAATCTCTCAAAAGAAAGAGATTTGAGCGCCCATTATAGGATCGTACGTTGTCATCAGACTAACATTTTATTAATAAAGTAAGCCGATTTGTAAATTATGTACCTAAGTACTTTTGTAATATACCTTTACATATTTTATTTCATATCTATGTTTTAGCACAATCAACGAACTTGATATTTTGTTGAAGAATATAATAGGAGTGTATTTTTTCTTAGCCACATTAACGTTATGTTCGGTTGCTGTTCGACTAAAGTCTGTAAGTAATACCATTCACTCCAAGATCCATGTACACTGTTTCCATTTTAAGAGTTAAAACTTCTTATCAATTTTCAGGAGGAAATGAGCATAATGCAATTGGTGTCCCTGATCCAATACATGTGCGCTACATTGACACAACTTTTTCTATTTTGCACATACGGGGACGCAGTATTGAACGAGGTAAACGTATGTCAATGCCATTGCAGTATCATTAAATTAAGTTATCAGTTTATTTACTTATACTTTTGGACCATTCTGGTTCTAGTCTGAACCAGATTTGATCAGCTCTTCCAATACAATCCGGTAAGGTTAAAGATTAAGTTGTTTTTGCAGATACCGTAGTATAAATTATGTCGAGTTAATTTACTTTCGTATTATATTTAACTAGCTACTTCCGCGCGGTTTCACACGCTCTGCTCAGCTCGTATTGGTCGTAGCGTGATATTTTATAGCCTATAGCCATCCTCGATAAATGCGCTATCCAACACAAAAATAATAATTCAAATCAGATTTGTAGTCCGGAGATTAGGGCATTCAAACAAACAAACAAAAAAACAAACTCTTCGCTTTATATAATAGTATAAAGTAAAATAGATAAGTATGACTTCTACCTAGCTTGGAAAAATCGTATGGCCATAAAATATTATTACCATAACATTTTCGGGACGTATCTTAGACTTACGCCCCTACCGCCCCTACGTTCATTGTGGAACTTAGACAAACCCAGTTTTCTATGACCAGTAGGTAGTTTCGTATTTCGGCTGTTGATTGTATGTCAGTCACTTATAGATTGAATCATCATTATCTAATGGCGATGATGCCGTCAGCCCGTTTCTATTTATTTACTGTAGGGCTTAGGTCTCCAGAATAACCACAGGACGGTGTTAACTTTAATTAAAACATACCTAATCTTATTTTTGCTGTTAAACTAGAGTTCAGTGGGTATGGGACAAGGACCATTCGCAGCTGCATCATGGTGTTTAAGTCCTCGGATTAGACGAGAACTGGTGATCCTCGGCTCCGGTATGATGAAGCCACGGCATCTTCGCGCTGGGCCTTTCAATTTCTTAGACTTGCCTTCTTTTATACAAGTGAGGACTGAGTAACTTCTTCTGTATTTTAGTGCGTAATTATTATTACACTATTATATGGACTTTTTTTTTAATGTGGGAAAATCATCGAATGACCGCTCCCGCCTGGGTGAGGCGGGAGGGAGTGTCAGACTCTTACTGACTAAATACCACCCCGTTCCTTCTCCTGCACGTCGAGCCGGAGCCCCGGCAACCCGTTAGGTTCTCCGCAACATTACCTATATGGACGTTTAGTGTTTTAATTGAATTCACGTCATCATTGTAAATTTTTATACTTGTAATTTCATTGCAGGTTGTCCGAGCCGCCTATAGTTATTACGCTGTATTGGGAAAGAAAGAATAAGAACGAGTTTTAGACACGTAGACTTGGTTTTTAAACAAAAATCTTTTCAATTAAAAGGTATAAAAGGAAACTCAAACAAATTATACCTTACAGTACCTACCTAGATAGGATTCGGGTTCTAACCCTACTGTTGCACATGCTATAAAAACAAACTATAAAGACGTTATTGAACATGCTTAAAAGTGTTCGAAAATCAAATGCCTGTCGCTTTGGAAATATGTTAAAAATAAGCACGCTACCTTTGAGCAATATTCTAACAAATGATTATGTTTTCGGCTTACTCACGTAATAGTTTAGGTGAACAGACGAGGAACTCGACTAGTGCGACTCTTCTTAGACTACTGGACCCGCGACAGTCGCCGCGTCGCAGGTAGCGAAATGCTGCTCATGAATATGAGCCTCTAGCACGGCTTGACACTAATCGAGTTCCCCGTCAAACTATTACGTGAGTAAGCCGAAAACATAACAATTTATTTAATATGTCTCACGAAAGTTACAATACAAATATTCTAGCAAGTGTTAAATTGAAACATGCTTCCGTATTTGAAATTAGCATGTGTAACAATTTGCTATTACTATAATATTATTGTCGTTGCTAAAAATACGTATTTAGTGGGTGCATATATTTCTATTGTGACACCTTTCACCGTCACCTCTACTATATTTAGAACTGAATGAACAATGTCCATGATTCGAAACAAAGCAAAAAGTTAGTTTTACGACGTCATTACAGTAATATTTTGCTTATTAGTCACATAATATTATGGTTAAGAAGGTCAAATCACTGCAATATCGATAAAGATTACTTTTCCAATTGTCGTCATTCGCACGTCATTTGTTATTTATGTTGACAATAGATTGTAGCTTATTATAAGTACTTATTTATTAGATACTAGTGGACCGTCCCGACTTCGCTTAGGTGCAATCTTCCGCCTATTCTTGCTTTTTTTCTTTCATTAGTTTCATAACCTTAACAACTTTGTCCAAATCGGTCCAGAGGCTTTAGTACGATTTCATACGAACCAGTACTAAGCCCTTAGATGTCTCGAGTTTTGCACTTAGGAATACGTTTTGTGATTTATTTATTTACATTACAAATTATATAAATAATAAAACCACCAAATAAATACACAATAGTTTTATTTCATTGAGTTAGTTACAAACAAATTTTCTATAATAAAGGATTCATTTTGAGCATGATTAGTATCTTCTCTCCTTCTCTTATAAGGCATTCCCAAACAATATGTTGCAGTCTTAGTTTTTTAAATACCTCCTTTAAGTCAATAGTATTAAAGGTTAAATTCCGATTTGTTATACACTGTAAGGAAGGTACTTAAGTACATTGGAATCAAAATCTAAAAAGACAAATGTTACGAGTTTAAACTGTCAAATACCAAGCGGTCACCGGTGACCGCAACCTATTGTTCTATAATTGTGTCTACAAAACCGGTACTCGACGAGTTAAACTTAATTATAAAGAAGAATGCCATAAAATCAGAGTCGATTAAAATCATTCATAGCCAGTGTAATATAGACCATAAGTGAAAGGTGACAAATACGCTATTCATTTTGGACAAAACCATAACCAAACGGGCCAGGAGCCAGCAGTAGGTACAATTTTGTATGGGCGCGTAGGTAATTTTTTATTTTGTTTTTTTTATACCATGTTTGTTATTAGACTAATGAAAGCGATGAAAAATACAGACATTATGAGAATAACAAGCATACTAATAAGACTTTCGAAGAATATCATAACTATCACGATGTGATTTAGTTCAAAAATACCAGTATTGACTTTTAAATCTGCAGAAATACTATATAAAACGAGACTATGATATACTAGACCCATTTTTTTTTACTTGGTAATGGTTTCATCGAAAACAATTATTGAATCTGTGATATACTATGTATACCTACTGAACCTTGCCACATAATATAAATTACTTTAATCGATTCTGAGTTTTGGCTCCATACACATTTGAGCATTGTCATTTTAATCAATAAATGCAAATAAATACAATATGGCTATTAATATGCAACGAACTTTCATATTATCAAGTAATTACATTATATATTTTTTTTATTTATATTATACTTTTACATAGTTCCAACAATTTCATAAAATTTGGAAATAGTAAGTAAATAGATTCATAATTTTTTTATAGTCTCTATTTAGGATTATTTATCATATTAATAAATTCTTTGTATCACTGTCTTAGAGCTTTTTAATTGAGAATTTTTGTGTGCATGACTGCGACACAGCAAACTTACTCGGTGGAAGTGTCCTAATTGCACCGATGAGAGGGTTTCGTTTGGTTTACGTTTAACGAAATCGAACCGAGACCGCGTTGAGCGCTCTGATTGGTCGCTGATTTGTTGGTTCATTGACGCCGGCCAATCAGAGAGCCGAACGCGGTCTTGTGTCGATCTTATTAAACATATACCGTAAAACTCGTTAATTTCCCTCTATTCAATTACTTTTCTTTCCACGTGAGTAAATGTTATTTTATTACTAGGCACCTTATTCTTCATTTTCGGTTTCGATAAATGAACCAGAACAACTACTTTTGAGTTTTATCACAGCCAACTGGGTAATAAAATTCATATTTGCAAATAGAAGGCTTGATTTTATATCTTTTCATCAGTTAACGCTTAATTGATATAATATTGCAACACAGACAATACGACATTAGGTATGTTTAAAAAAAATAAGAGCGGATTTAGCCGCGCGCTGTATAGTGATTCAACACTTACATTAGAAAGATCCCAATGAATGGAAACTAAGATCTTTTGTCCAATACACGTTTCATTTTGGACAGCTACAGTGAAAATATAGACAGAACCTGAAGTTATACTATATTAGCGCCCTGTGGTGAGCTCAAACATTGTAGTCCTCATTGATATCGCGTCGCGCTTGGCGACATGACATTCATGACTTGGTACCCCAATAAATAAAACGAACAAAAAAGACTTAATAGCCTTGATGACGTGATTCATTTTTTTGAGTTCTCAAACTTATTAAACAAAAAAGTACACAAAAAGGTTTAGTACCAATTTAAAGGAGACATAATGAGGTCGTTAGTTTAATACTAAAATACCATACCGGTAGACAATCTACAATCGCAGATGATACAAAGGTAATCTACTGACTGGGAAACCAGTTGCTTTAATTCTTCATCATCTTTCTGTTACTATGGTGATATCAACCATGATATACTTGCAATAACGGCTATTTTAATATGGCTCTTTAAAAAAAAAACTAATAAATAGATTCATATTAAGTTAATTTTCACATTTATTATCTTTTACCCAACTATACAATGTCTTACTTACCTACAATTCAATAATGTGGCCCTTAATATTCGAATCAGGATTGATAGTTAGCGTCGATCCACGCTGTGACTTGTTTCAAGTGGTACGTACTCCAACGAATGTTGTTCTTAACACTTTCCAACGCCTGTCGCCGCCCGGTTTCTCCTGCACCCGCTTCGGGGTAGAGACCGAAGAACGATTCCATCTGCAAATCAAGTTATAGGTGAGATATGGACACGTAGGTAATTATTTTTAGTGTAAAAACTGAGTAAAGGCGAGACACAATTTCTCGGAAGGAACGCAAAAAAAAATTCATTCATTATTATCTGTCCCTATTGCGTGAGACTCATAGGTAATAGACTGGCAAAAAATGCGACTGCGCAAGCTGCTTTTAGAAAGAGTCCCCTCTTTTATTCGAAATTAGTAGAGCTTTTCTCAGTATAATTACTTGAGTAACCGTAATTTTTAGTTAATTCAACAATATTTATACCATTTTGTATATCTCTGGTTTCTATTATACCTTAATATACTAAATAAATAAATAAACACAAACAAGAACATGCAAATACATGGTAACTAAGAATTCGTATTGTTCTTTAACCCGTTGAAATCCACCCCCTAAATTTGGTCATACAAAAGTAGTCTCTAAACATTAGAAAAAAAGGTCTATAATGTAATGTAATATTAGTGGAAAGCGGTCACCGGTGACCGCTTGGGGATTTATGGGTTTTGTTTTTTGCTTATATTTTGCAGACATAGACAAGAATAACTCACCTCTTTAAGCTTAAGATCAGTATTGAAAGAGGAAGTGATGGAAGGAATGATGCCCCCCAGGTACCGGCTGTTGAGAGTGAACCGTCGCACGAGGCGCGGCCAGTTGGCGCGCACGTCGTCCCACACCAGCGCCGTGCCGCTCGGGTTGCTACTTATATTGACTACTACGGTCAAGTAGTCCTGGCTTCGAATGTTAGCCTCGTCCCACGCCATCAGTAAGAACCTGAATGATGAAAAAGAGCGTAAAAAAATCCATAATTCCAGTTTTCATAGTGGCTTTTTGGGGATCATTATAATTAATATTATGACTCATCCCCCCTCAGAATGAAGCGTGGAGGGTGTCGAGACTCCTGCTTCGAGCCGAGGCCGCGGTCACTTATGGCGGCTTTATCTTCAACTTCTTGCGGTTGCTATTTAGTAATGCAAAAGTTTAATAGATGCTATAGGTATATGATACACACCTAGTAGGTGGCACAATCTTGTAGCTGGTCACGCTTAGAGAGACGTAGACATTATGTTTAACCAAATCGATTTAGACTGGGCATTTTCAGTTTAGTCAAAATATAAATATCTATAGGTGTAATAATCCTTATTCAACTTACTTGCGCAGTATAGCAGTGTCACGTGGTGCAGATAAAGCCTTGCGAATTTTCAGCAATTCTTGGACATCTTCCTCTTTCTTGTAGATAGCCCATAGTTTGTCCCAGTCAGCCATAGACGCTGACTTCATACCTATGAATAGACCAACAACCTACACTAAAGGACCGTCAAACAACAATATGTAAATATTTTATTTTTTAATACAGTGAAACCTGGTTAAGTGAGACACCAAGGGACCTGCAATGTAGTTTCACTTATAGAGGTATTCCACTTACCCAGTGTCTCAGATATACAGGTATAAATAAATATCTGTC